CGGCTAACAAACAAAAATGAGACCGGAAAATAATCCGTAGACGAAATAAGGACGATGGGGATGTTTATAACAGTTGTTACGGGGATTGTTGTGTGTAATTTATTACCATGGTTTCACTGCATGCTATGGAAGAGTTCCACGACTCCATACCTTTGCCAAATGATGTTAACCTTTAGTTTATAGCATATGATAACGATATCTTTAAACAAGAGTTCCACGATCTCATACCTTCGCCAAAAGATGTTAACCCTTGCGGGTGACGAATTCTACAATTTTAATAATTGATTTTGTAAATAAGAGCCTCATTTGCATGGATTATATCAGTTGATCATATTCTCCACCCAATGACAGCCTTATCATAACAAAAAGGCTATTATAGCACTTCCTCATAAATTATGCAAATGAGGTCATGATTTGAATAAATTATGTTTATTAATGTTCACCTTCACTTAACTTCCAAATGTGGCAAGTATGAAATTCGGGGTGCAGCAGTTACAACTATGGAATTATAAGAATTTGCCATTAATTATGCAAATTAGGTCCTCATTTACATAATCTATATCCTCAGATGTTTTTCTCGTTCTCAAGTAGATGTCACAACTGTTTCATAGTTCTATTATCGAACAAATCAGATTTATAGAATTTCCTCATTAATTATGCAAATTAGCTCCTGATTTGCATAATTGCCATCTGATTATGTCAAGCATCACTTCAACTACCTACATACCAAAAATCACGACAATACGTCAACCGGTTCTTGAGTTATCGTCCTTCAAATTTTTTTCAACAAATGCTCCTGCAGTTCCAGAACAAGGCGCTAGGGGACCCAAACTCATGTCACTTCTTCCCTACCCCAAGAGCTATCTACCAACCAAAATTCGTGACCCTAGCATGTCCAGAACATGAGATATCAAAACCGGAAGTTCAGCTGCAGTACCTAGGAAAGCCGCCAGGGGGCCCAAAATCTAATCATTTCTAGGTCTCATGAAGTCCTACCCACCTACCAAGTTTCATTCCAATCCATCCACTGCTTCTCGAGTTATCTTGCTAAACCACACACACACACACACACACACACACACACACACACAAACACACCCACCCACACACAGACAAACGCTACTGAAAACATAACCTTCTTGGCGAAGGTAATTAGAAAAGTAACATTTGCAAAGCAAATGCATAATGTTTACCTTCGCATATGGTCTGCTCTGTTAATTCATACTCATATACATTCACACATATGGTGACAGAAGTCTAAATCCTTCCTGCTATTAAATTGCAACATGATGTAACCCAACACCAGTTACCATGGTGACAGACAGTCTGGTTCATTCAGGTCAGAGGTTACTGTTTGAAGAAGAAGAAGAGGAAACGTAGCAAAAACAATATGTTTTACTTCGGTAAACATACATATGGAGATAAATTGCATTATGTCCTCGCAACCCCAAGCGCAATTTTAAGTTAGAAATCTGGTCTATGAGGAATGTATAAAATATTGGAGCAGTTCTCATGCAAAGAAAAGCCCTGGTTATTAATATACGAGTCATTTATCTTGTACAATAATCTGTCACATGTATTTTTGAGAACAAAATGGAGGATTAATAAAGACATCTCCGTGAGTTTTTGAGACCTAGATTTACCTGCTAGGTGGGTTTCCGGTTGGCACACGTGTGTCTAGAGAATGAAATTAGATCTATCCATCTTTCTGGAGATGTCAGTTCTCAATTAATGCACTTACGCGTTACATCCGGTTACATCCGGTTACATCCGGTCTGACGCCTACTCAAACAGCTGTGTCCGTCTGGTGCGGACGGTGTCAAGCCATATACATGATCCTGCCAAATACATGACTCCAACACTACTTGGGGGTTTACAATATACCTGAGACAAGGGGTGGAAGGGGTTTAGTCGCGATGTGGGAGACTTAACCTAAACTAACCCCCATTGTAAGTCTAACCCTAGCCCTGAACTGAATGATTCCAACTCTAAATCCTGAGCCCGCTGTCAAGCCATATACATGCATGATCCTGCCAAATACATGACTCCAGCACTACTTGGGGGTTTCAAATATATCTGAGACAAGGGGTGGGGTGGGTGATGTGGGAGACTAAACCTAACCTAACCTAACCCCAATTGTCTAACCCTAGCCCTGAACAATGATCCCAACTCTAACCCTAAGCCTAACTCAGAGCTAAATATAACCCTAAAACTAGCCCTAAACGCCTGGCCTCCACCAGGCCCTTCTACGGGAATACGGATCGTAGAATTTGGCAAAAAGGAGAGTAAAATTGGCCAGGGGAGTCCGGCCGCGGAAGGTTGTTTCTTTCCCTCCGAAGTGTCCAGTCAAACTCCAAGGCGGCCAAACTCCCCTGGCAAATATTCTCATATATATAGCCAGCGTAGTTAGTCTGGTAGAGGCTACGAAACACCACGTATGTGGCAGCTCAAGGATTTGGCTCAACAACGGAACGGCATATGTTGAAACGAGGTATGATTGCGGCAGCACCTCTCCTTGGTGCTGATTGGACGGTAGTTATAACGTCACTGAAACGTCACCCAGGACTTATAAAGTAGAAAAGCATCTGGGGACAGGGGGAGAACGGCTAGTCATTCAGTCCTGTCAGAACCGGGCCGTACCTGCTTATGGAAGCTCAGATGTTCTCCTGTATGTGTACCTATAACTAGCAGTTTACTCCTCAAGTGTTAGACTGCAAGTAGTGGCCGTCTTTGTCTTGTAGCGTCTAGTCGAGACTCCGTCCTGTTAAGAACAATGGAAGAAGAAAGTAATGACACTTTCTTCGAGTTCACGAACGAGACAGTGTTCTACAACAACAATGAGTCGTTTTCGAACGACACTTTCTGGCCCAACGCGACCTACCCGCCGTACCTAGGCGCGTACACTACACTGTTTATGCTGGAGTACTCGGTGCCGGTTCTGACCGTGGCGACTCTCACGGTCCTACTGGGCACCACCGGGAACGTCCTGGTGATCTTCTCGGTGTGCCGGTACCGGCGGCTCCGCAGCAGCATCAGCTACTACCTGGTGAGTTTGGCCACGGCCGACCTGTTCCTGTGCTGCGTCTTCACGCCGCTGAAGACGGCGGAGTACTTCCTGCCGGAGTGGCCGTTCGGCGCCGTGATGTGTAAGGCTGTGGCGTACATCCACCTCCTGGTCATGAGCAGCTCCGTACTCACACTCACCGCCATCGCGTATGAACGGTAAGAGCTTCTCGTGTCAGTCTGTATCTGTATCTGTGGGATCGTGTGGCGTAACGATAGAGTGCTCGAACCAAGAGATCTGGGGTTCGAATCCTGACATGCCACCGATCTTGTGCCCTTGGGAAAGGCACTTTCCTCACTTCGCTCAGGTGAAAATGAGTATTGTCCCCTGTGTTGGTGGCGGCATTAATATAAGTTGAAAAACTTGAGTGTGTCCACACCACGTCTTGTGATTAGATGTTAGAATATAAAAATTTGTGTCTGTATCTGTATAGCCTGTATAACCGCCCTTCGGCGTAACAAACCAGCTTCGCAGGAACGCGGCGCGGCGACAGCTAGCTATATCACACCGAGCGACTTGTTACACCTAACTACAGCATTACATACCGCTACTGTTTATGTTATCAAATTAGACGGTTATGACCACAAATAAAGCTATTACCTTCCATTCTCTAGCGGAACTCATGCGGGGCTCAAGAACTGCCTCCTGTAGGAGATAATTGACAACTCAATTAATTGAGCGTGGACAAACCGTCGACTGGGGAATACCGATAGGACGTCCAGACACCTCATGTGTGACGAAGATTACGCCAAAATTTGTTTAGTTTATCGATTTTTAGGTACCACCAAAGGCGGTCTTGTTGGAGGGACGTCTGGTGCCATGCTGGCTTCTTTACCTGACCGCAATTGATAAGAAAAATCGAGGTGTCAGACGTTCCATGCGTGAAAATTTCAGTCTTGTTTATTGATTTATATTTGGTGTTACATTGAAACTGTCTCGTCGGCTGTCGCGTTAGCTCTGGGGAGCCTCTCTAGACGGCACTAATTCCTGAATATCAATCAATAATTTCAACATTATTGCATTGACTACGTATACCCTACATGTAAATGTGGCTATCATAGTGAAACAACTGAACACTACTTTCTACATTGTAAACTTTATTCCAGTCAAAGAAGTACTCTATTATCATCTCTCTCCAACATAGTAGAGCTACAACATCTCAATGACAGTTCACTATGTTCCTTACTACTTCGAGGGTCCACATCACGCTCACACCTACAAAACTGTAATGTTTTTGATGTACGCGTAGATTCTCGTAATTGATATATCACCAACTTGTCTTGTTTGTATTTATCTTCGTTTTATCCACCTTGTAATTATGCATGTATTTTGTCAATGTGTTTTACACTCGTTGTATGTTCTGAGTAGAAGGTATTATTAAGCAACATGTGCTTTTTGCCCAATACCCAATAAATATATGTAAATACAATAGTTCGTGCTTATAAACCTGCAATTCTCCTGCAGTCTCTTAGTGTCACTGACGAAAGGTATTGGATGCTACCTGAAACGTCTGACCGTTTCCAAAATCATATCCAGGTGGCTTCAGTAACTGTTTTTTGGCGTATCTTATTACCTGGATGTCTAACCTTTACCAACGTAAATCCTGAATGTTTTAACTTCTTTGCATTGTCTTCTCTCCTCTCTTCATATCTATCTTTGCCCATTTTCGGTATATTGATCACTTTCAGAAGGCAACAAAATTTCAGGCGAAAATTAATGCACGCGTTGATGCCATCCATGAAAATTACTTGCTGTGGCCTATGTCGTTACCGTATGAAATGTGGGGATGGAAGGATGGTATCAAGTATTGTGCCAAACACATTACAGTGTGCCGTTTCATGTTATAAACGTCCTCCAGACAATTTCAAAGCGGACGTAAGCTTGTTAAAGGCAATATTCTTCGCACTTCATACGACTATGAAAGTGTAACTAACAAAATAGCTTCTAGTTGTTATTGTGTTTTACTCTCGTTTTATGTTTTTGAGTAGAAGACGTCACATAAGCAATCTGTACTTTTTGCCTAATACTCAATAGTGGTAACGTTATATGTGAATAAAAGATAGCTTCTAGTAGCGCAAAAGGCCATACATTTTGAATCGGTCCATAAAAGTATGTTCGAGCCTAAACCATTTCTCTTGGGGCGTTCTTGGTATCCGATCTTCAAGAGTGAACCAGGCAGAATATTCGGCCTTCTACTCTAAGCCATTCGGATTACTAGATGTGGAAACTAGATCTAGATCTCGCCTTCAAAGCTAAAGCATCAATCCTAGCGCTGGGGGCAACAGGAAATGAAAACGTCTGGTTTTAGATTACCTTTGTGGCTAACACCATCCTGTCTTTGCCGTAAAGCGATAAGTACTTTCTGCAAAAGCCCGTACGGTACTATACTGTTGATTAAACCACCGGCCTTCGGGGTTTGTTTCAGTTTGAGAATGGTTGCGGATGTGGTCTGACGTTTGGTGGTGGGTGGTGGGCTTTCTGTACTTCCTTCAATATGCGATGGTGGTGTCATTGGGGGATTTGCGGCTTCCGTATGGTTGGTGTAGTTTGTAGCCTGTGTTACACAAGCTCTCGGCCGGAGGTTAATGACCCCCACTTTTGGGGGGCGGCAACTTCGGGGCGGCCGGCCACCAGGAGCGCGATTAGTCAGGCTAGTGTAGTTTGCAAACGGATGCATCCACATCTGACGAAGGTTGACGAGATCGACCGAAAATTTATGGTTTGTTGTGTTGGAAGATAGCTTGAACTCTATAACTATGGATTCTACCAACACATGTACAGATGAGCTTTCATTCGGATGCATATATGTGTATATTCAAAAAGCAATGGTGTTAGAGTTGAATTGGATGCATAGAATATTTTCCGTCCTAAAAGTTTTTCTGCAGTTGCATCAACCTGGCCAAACTTTTACTTGGCACGCTGCTGACATCAGCCAGTAGTTTTTCAACTTTTGCACAAACACACAGACGCTCACACACAGAGAGACGATCCCATAGGATCATGTCTATATGTTGACTGAAGCATAACTTTATTATCTGGTCCAAACATCGCGGTGTCCCTGCGGTAAAAGCGCTGACGCAGAGGTGAGGCCGGCCGACGTCAAACTCGTTTGAAAGACCGGCCTTACACGAACATCCCAGGGTGGATTATTAATTGGTGATTACGGGAGGATGAGGTGAAGAGGTCGCGCGTGCGAAGATGCTCAGAGCCGCGCCGACCGTCTGTACCTGTGCGGCAAAAACCGGTCAATGCCCCATGTTGTGTTCTAACGCAGACTGAGCAAAGGTAAACTAAAAAAAAAAAACTTGAAAGATAACATTTCGCATATGGTCTGCTCTGTTAATTCATACACAAACACATTCATATTAAATTATATGGTCAGACAGGAGTCTAAATCCCTCCTGCTATAAAATTGCAACATGATGTGACCCAGCACTAGTTACCATGGTGACAGACGTCTGGTTCAGGTCATTGACCTTATTGGTTTGGAGGAGAAGAAGAATAAACAGAGCAAAAACAAAATCTTTTCCTTCAGTACACATGATAGCTACATGCAAAATTTGCAACAGCATGGATTTTTGCAATAATAAGTCGTATGTTATGCACAGGAAATGCACTATACAAGACTCATACAATGCAAGGGTCGATTCCCAATAGTTGCTGTTAACTTTGTATGTAAGCAATAGAGAAGTTTTTTTTTACATCGAAATGGTGAGAAAAGTAGTCTTGCATGAAATCGGGAGACTGCGGCTTTGTAACAGAAGGAATCCCCATGTGTTGCAATTCACATAGGAAACGCACACGCTGACAACAATTAACAGTTATAATGATAATGTCTGGGAATTATGGATCTAGAACTGCGCAACAAATGAGCATAACAACAGAATAGGACACGTTCAACGTTTTTCCAAGGACAGTTTTAACTGGCTGTTGTCAAGGGAAGTTTCACACAGACATCCGGAATAACAAATCGCTCAAGAGTTTGTACATCGGTTTTAATCGGCCGCGTGTGGGGGAAAGACTTCAAAGAAAGCCGTAATGGGTCTCCTGTGTCGACACATGGACCCTGCGTGGTGCCAAAACCGTTAATAACAAATGTCGTTGCTCCGTCTCCCCTGAAAAAAACATCCGTTGCTCACAGGATCCAGAGCCGACCATGTACGATCTTGACATTTGTACGAAAAAGCTTTTAACCTTGTACATTTCCTCCGCGCACATAAACCACAGCTAGCGAACTGAGGTTTTTATTCATTGTATTTACCGAAGGAAAACATGTTGTTTTTGCTGTGTTTTCTCTTCTTGTTTTCCAAACCAATAAGGTCAATGGCCTGAACCAGACGTCTGTCACCATGGTAACTGGTGTTGGGTTTCACCATGTTGCAATTTTATAGCAGGAGGGATTTATACTCCTGTCTGACCATATGACCATATGCGAAGGTAAACATTATGCATTTGCTTTGCAAATGTTACCCTTCTAGTTTATGAAGCTTTACCACATTTGTAGAAGGTTTGTATACATGTACTGTATATAAAATTTAACGATCATTCCCCCACAACCTCTGCTTGGAGAGTAGTGTTTCATATGCGTAGGTGTATATGATGAAAAGATAGCGGTCATAATCGGTCAGAATGTTGTCTGCTACAAACACGATATCGCTCTCACAAACCCGAAAACATTGCCTGAAGGCTCCACGCTATCTCACTGCGGTCTCTATTGCCCATCGTTTCCTCCGAGACCATTCATGGTTACGGGTACTGAGATCTATCGCTGCGGTTTGCCCATCTGCGTGCGTTTCTTCACGCTTAGCTGGTCCAATTTCCACACGAGAGATGGGCTTAGAATGAACCATCTTTCTTGTGGTGCATCGGTGAAGGAACTTGAACCGAATATGCGATTTGTATATATCGTGTTGTACGTAAGCTTGTAGTTAACTTGAAGTTGTTGTGAAAACGTAATTGTGGGTCTGCATACATGTGACCTTCTGACCGATTTCTACACGATAGGCGAGCTAGCGCTTAGAATGAACCATCTTTCTTGTTGTGCATAGGTAGAGGAACTTGAACCGAATATGCGATTTGTACATATCGTGCTGTACGTAAGCTTGTAGTTAACTTGAAGTTGCTGTGAAAACGTAATTGTGGTCCTGTATACATGTGA